TGTCCAAGTCAGACAGTACCCGATGCCAGAAGAAGCTAGGAGGGGAATAGCGCCCCACATTCACAGATTGCTAGAAGAAGGAATCCTTAAACCCTGTCAATCAGCCTGGAACACGCCCCTGCTTCCTGTGAGAAAGCCTGGCAATGAGGACTATAGACCAGTACAGGACTTGCGAAGGGTCAATGAAAGGGTGGAGGACATTCATCCCACGGTGCCCAACCCATATACCCTGCTCAGCCATTTGCCACCATCCCATGTGTGGTATACCACCCTGGATTTGAAGGATGCTTTCTTCAGCATCCCTCTGGCGGAGATCAGCCAATCCCTGTTTGCCTTTGAGTGGCAGGAACCTGGAGGGGGAAAGACGGGGGAGCTCACGTGGACCAGGCTGCCCCAAGGCTTCAAGAACTCCCCCACCCTGTTTAATGAGGCCCTAAGTCAAGATCTGGAGCCTTACCGCAAAAGGCACCCTCATGTAACCCTGCTGCAGTATGTGGATGATTTGCTGCTGGCCACAGCTACTCATGGAGAGTGCATGGAGGCAACGAAGAATCTGCTGGCTGAATTAGGCAGCCTGGGATACCGAGCCAGCGCCAAGAAGGCGCACATCTGCCAGAGGTCAGTAGTCTACCTGGGGTATAAGATATCTGAAGGGGCCAGATGGTTGACTCAGGCTATGAAGCAAACCATCCTGACCATTCCAGTGCCCGCCTCTCCCCGAGGGGTAAGGGAATTCCTCGGCTCGGCTGGGTTTTGCAGACTCTGGATTCCTGGGTATGCAGAGATAGCCCGTCCACTGTATGAGGCCACCAAAGACGGGCCCGACTGGAAGTGGAGCCAAGAGCAACAAGAGGCATTTGACCGATTGAAAGAAGCACTCCTTCAGGCCCCAGCCCTGTCTCTGCCGGACCCAGAGAAACCTTTCGCCCTTTTCATAGATGAAAGGAAGGGAGTCGCTAAAGGGGTCTTGGCCCAGCAGCTGGGTCCATGGAAAAGACCGGTGGCTTATTTATCTAAGCGACTGGACCCTGTGGCCTCAGGATGGCCATCCTGCCTACGCATCCTGGCAGCCATCGCCCTGTTGGTCAAGGAAGCCGACAAGCTGACATTTGGACAAGACTTGAAGGTAACAGCACCACATACGGTGGAGGGAATCCTCCGACACCCTCCCGGGAAGTGGATGACGAATGCCCGACTCACCCATTATCAGGGGCTTTTATTAGACTCGCCCCGAATTACCTTCTCGGCCCCAGTAACTTTAAATCTAGCCACACTCTTGCCAGACCCAGACCTGTCCTCCCCGGCCCATGATTGTAGAGATGTCCTATCTGAAGTCTGCCAGACTCGGATAGATCTGAAGGACACAAGGATACCAAACAGTGAGCTGGATTGGTACACTGATGGAAGCAGCTTTGTGAAGGATGGAGTCAGAAGAGCAGGGGCAGCGGTGGTAACACAAGAAGGAGACGTCATCTGGAGTGCTGCCCTACCTCCAGGTACCTCCGCGCAAAAAGCCGAACTTATTGCCCTTGCAGAGGCCCTAGAAAGGGCGGAAGGCAAGCGAGCTAACATCTACACGGACAGTAGATATGCCTTTGGCACGGTGCACGTTCATGGTGCCATCTACCGAGAGAGAGGGTTCCGATCTGCTGAAGGAAAAGAACTAAAGAACTTACAGGAAGTCCAGAGACTATTGAGAGCTATAGAAAAACCCAGGGCAGTGGCAGTCATACACGTGCCTGGACACCAAGTCAAGAAGACTCCTGAGGCCATTGGTAACAACCTTGCAGACACGGAAGCCAAAAGAGTGGCCCTCTCCAGTCCTGGAGATCCAGTTGTACTAGCCGCCCTAGAGGTACCGATACCAGAACTGCCTACTCTGCCCCCCAAACCTGATTATTCTCCACAGGATCTAGAGTGGATAAAGAAGCGAGCACCGGAGGGGAGGACTGGGGAAGGAGGTTGGAGCCGGGACCAGGAAGGCAGGTTGATTCTACCAGAAATATTAGGGAAATACATGTTAACTAATTTACACAGATCTACCCACTTAGGTTGGAAGAAGTTGCTTACTCTTTTCCAAAATGCACAGCTGGTTTTCCCACATCAGACTAAAGCAGCAAGACTGATCACGGGAAGTTGCAACAGCTGTGCGAAACTTAGACCAGCCCCAAAGGAGCTCCACCCAACTGGTAGCCGGGAGAGGGGGAGGGCACCGGGAAGGTATTGGGAGATAGACTTCACTGAGGTAAAGCCAGGTAAATTTGGTTATAAGTACTTGTTAGTAATGGTGGATACCTTCTCAGGATGGGTAGAGGGCTTTCCCACTAAAAATGAAACTAGCCAGGTAGTAGCAAAAAAGCTAATTGAGGAAATAATTCCCAGGTATGGAGTCCCTGAAGTCATAGGTTCTGATAACGGCCCGGCTTTCATTAGCAAAGTCCTGCAAGGACTAGCCCAGACTCTGGGAACAGATTGGAAACTACATTGTGCTTATAACCCACAGAGTTCTGGGCAGGTAGAAAGGATGAATCGGACTTTAAAGGAGACCCTTTCTAAATTGGTCGCTGAGACTGGCGGTGACTGGGTGACTCTCCTTCCCTTAGCCATTTTCCGTGTCAGGAACTCCCCCTATGTGCATGGACTGACCCCCTTCGAGATAATGTTTGGAGCCCCGCCACCGATAACCAGGCGGGCGTTGCCCCCAGGGGAAGAAGGATCAGCACCTGACTACCTGAGTGTATTACAATCTCTCACTAAAGTACAACAGGAAATTTGGCCCCTAATCAGAGCTTACTATGGAGAAAGAAAGGTGCTTAATATAGAGCATGGTATCTCCCCAGAGAACACAGTCTAGGGAAAAAGACACAGAATAAAGACCCTTAAACCCAGGGGGAAGGGACCTCATGTTGTGTTGTCTGTTACTCCCACTGCCTTGAAGGTTGACGGTATTGCTTCTTGGGTACATCACACCCACGTTCGTAAAGCATCACCTCACCAAGACTCAGAGCTCGACATAAAGACGTAAAAAGCGTAGAAAGATCCAAACAACCCTCTAAAGATACGGCTAAATCGAACTTGAGAGGATTTCTACCCTGCGCTGTCTCAGGACTTGCCAAGCATCCCTGCCACCACTGAGACTCCCTTATGAAGCTCTCCACGCAGACTGGATGGGTGAGGATGTTGCTGGTAATATATTATCTAGCAACTAACTGCGGACATTTTGTTCAAATGGCATAACTCAGTTATCCAATAAAATAATAAACACTTATTGTGAATTTATTCATTAATACTAATTAATAATAATAATAACAATAAAGCATACCTGGGCTGGAGAGAGCTCAGCAGTTGAGAGTACGTACAGCTCTCACAGAGAACCTAACTTCGGTTCTCAGCACCTACAAGTGGCTAGAAGCTCCTTATAACGCCAGCTCCGTGGGCTCTGATGCCCTCTTCTAGCCTTCACGGAAACTGTTGGTAAAAAAAATGAAATACCTTGATGAATGCTGTAAGAACTCTGCATTTTGATAGAAAACTCTGTTTAAAATGTTGATTTAGATTTACTTGCTAAGCTTGCCTGTTCTGCCTGATTGTATCTACCACACATGGATGATTAACCTAGTTGAAATGCTAAGAATTGAAGTGCTGTAAACCTCCTTCCTGGACCCTGGACCCCAGACTCAGTTGATTTACAATGTGTCCTGTAGGCCTGTTTGCACATACCAGATAACCGATAAGGAACAAAAAGAGGGAAGTTGCACCAGGCTTACACCAGATCTACCCTTCCTGGAAAAGATGTTTAACCGAAACTATAGCTTTTAGAAGATGATTGATTAAAGTGTCTGCTGAGGAATGCTTTTTGTGTAATGACTATGTGGGCCTATATAATCTGTACCTGAAACTGAATGGGGGTCGATCGTTCTGACCAGACTTGCATGTCTTGGGAAGCCGGTCGACCCCAGCTAGCTGGAAAGTAAAGACTCCGCTTGATTTTTACATCTCCAATCCCGTGTATTTGTTACCTGGAGGGGACCCATCGAGTCACGGACCCTAACAGTCACATGAACACTTTTTATGTAATATTTCTTACTTCTGAGCTCAGAAAAACTATAATCAAATCAACATAGCAACTGAAATTTGGTGAGATCTTAGAAGAGAGAATAATAAAAAACTATTGTTGTTTTTAAGTTATTGTTTATATAATGTGACCAGAATAGAGTCAAGTGTATTTCTAAGCTAGGATCTAGTGGAATGTACAATAGAGTGAATGCTTGTGTCTCCCTCAAAGTCCTGTGTTAAAATCCTATCCCTCCAACAGCATAGTATTCAAAGGTAGAGTATTTGCTAAGAATCAGACCATGAAGATTGAGCCCTCATGACTGATGAGATTACTGGCCTTACAAAAGAAAATCCAGAAAATTCTCTCTCCTGCCTTCCTTCATGTGAGGACACAGCAAGATGGCAGCCACCTATGAATGAGGAACCAGGTCCTCACTAGATAATGAATTTTCCAACACCCTGATATTGGACTTCTCAACCTCTAGATCTGTAAGAAATAAACGTCGAGTCACTCAGTCTATACCATTCTGTTGTAGCAGCCTCAACTGACCAAGACAGAAAGCTAGACCACACAACTGGCAACAAGAGAAATGCAGACAATAGGAGACTTATTAAAGATCCAGATAATGTAGTTATGTGAAATCACTTGAAAATTACTATGCTTGCTGGGCGTGGTAGCACAGGCCTTTAATCCCAGCACTCCGGAGGCAGAGGCAGGCAAATCTCTGTGAGTTCAAGGCCAGGCTGGTCCACACAGTGAGTGCCAGGACATCTGGGGCTACAGAAAGACCCTGTCTCAAAAAGACCAAAAAAAAAAAAATTACCATGCTGAATATGTGCAAGGAAATCAAAGACAAAATTCATGACTTTAGCACAAAACTATAAACATTGAACTATAACCACAGGAAAATAAAAAACTGAAACTGAAAAATATAATGAAATTTTAAAAACCAGTGAATGGTTTAGTGGTGACTCCAAGGTTAAAAAAGAGTAATAAACTGAAGGACAGATTAAAAGAAAAACTCAGAATGAAGCCTAAAGATACAAAAGGGTGGAATGCACAGGAAAATGTAAGAAGTACAGGGCATAAGCTGAGAGGTAAATAAATACATCATTGGTATCCCAGGAGGACAAGACAAAGAGAATGGAACAGAAGAAACATCCTAAGGGATCACCACTGGAAAATGTTCTATAGACTCACACAGTCTCAAGCCAGAAACATGTCAAGATGTCAAGTAACTCACATATAGACACAGACATATTTTCAAAGCAGCAGGGAGAGAGGATGAGGAAATGGACTTTAAACTATTTGTTACCTCTCACTTACAACATAAATTTTGCATCTTTGCAAAATTTTAAGATTTACAATCTTAAAATATCACAATCTTATTATTGTTAATTTTTAAAAATATGTCGTGTGTGTGTGTGTGTGTGTGTGTGTGTGTGTGTGTGTGCGCACGCGCGCACGTAAAGAGGCCAGAAGAGAGTATCAGATCCCCTGGAAGTGGAGTTAAAGGTAGTTGTGAGCTGCCCAACGTGGGCAGCTCACAACTGAACTTGAGTCCTCTGCAAGAGAACAAAGTTTTCTTAACTCCTAGGTCTTATATCCAACCTCTTGTTTATTATTTGTTGTTTCTATTGGTATGATTTTAAGGTCCTTTCTTTTAAGTGTCTAAATCCAACATCTGGTTCTTTGTGTCTTTTTTTTTTTCTATGTCTAATGCATCTTCATCTCAAGACAATACCTTTTAATATCTTACACATCATTGACTAATACATTTTTTCCATGAACTCACTTAAATCTAGTCACTAGATTTAAGGATCAAATAGGAGTTCAAATAATCATGATTCCGCAAGGGGGTGAAATTTACTCATTTTTCTACTTAATTTGCTGTGACCTAGAAATTAATTTCCTCAAATATTGTTTTTCCTCATCTGTGAAGCAGGCTAGTAACATTTACTTGCCTGGGCTGGCTTTGAGGAGTAATTGAATTCAAAGTTCTTGTTTTTTTTTTTTCTATGTTTGCCTTTGTTTATAAAGTACTCAACTAAAAGCCAATTCTTCCAATTTAAAACACTTTCCAGAATATCCCAGAGAGAAGCTTTAAGGGCCTATTATCAGACCTACCAAAGCATATTGCCATGTTTCTCTGTTTTCTGAGCTTTGACTAGCATTTACCACAAGGAGCCTCCAAACTCAAGTTGATTAAGACTTCTGCGTACCAAGTACAGCATCTGAACTTTTACATTTTATAATTCTGCACATAAAACCTTAATATTGTGCTCTATATCAAACAGCAACTCTGTTTTCTTTCATTTCCTATATTTTCCAAAGCTGCATACCTGCTTATGATGTTTTTGAAGAGAATTCTGAAACTTCCTCCATGTACCGTTGCTTCTCCTACTTTAGACATCTACCTGGTGGGTACTTAGACCATTCGCATCTCATCAGAGCTCCTTCCCACAGATTTCAAAGTGATGACCGATACTCTGTGTGTTCTCTTTTTAGAAACCTTTGTATCTCCCCATTGGATGCATTCATATTCTTTTCTGTTTGATTTTTCAAGAGCTTTGTGTCTCATTTCTTCTTAGTGGGATGGCTATTTTCAGACAAAGCCAATAAAGAACTTAAAACATCTGTATCTGCAGCCTAAAAGAACATCAGGCCCTGCTCTGCTAAGTAAAATATCCCATGATTAGTAATAAATAGCATATTGCCTTGTTACTTTTGAGGCTCAGCTTGAGGACACAAACACACTAAGTTTAGAATGCCCTAGATATTATTGCACAAACAAAAACAGTCATTGGAGGTGCATTTTTCTGGAATATTACTTCAGATAAACATTTAAAGACCTTCTCTATCCTTAGCCCCTCCCCCAAGGGCACTGTATGAAGTAGTTCAATGATTCCACTTCAAAGGGACATGTGTGATGGCTCTGTAATGGCTCTTGCCTTGACTCCTATAGGAGCGCCCAGGTTCCGTGTATCCCTTCATCAGCACTAGGGGCCTGTCCCTCTGTTCTCCTGGCATGCTTTGCTGCTGAGAGCTGGCACCTGCATCCTTCAGAGAACTTCCCTTAGATATGAGCACCAGCTTGCCTAACTGAAGAGCTGAAAAACACCTTGATTTTGCCCATCCTTTGTCCAACCAAAGGTTGCCTGTAGCCAATGGGATGGACATGTTCCTTGATGTATAACTTTCACTTTCCAGAATCCTGTGAAATTAGACTGCATCTAGTAGTTCAGTTGAAAAGACTCTTGCTTGATTTCTTCCCCTTTCTTTTCTTACCTCTACATTTCTCTTACTGGCTGATCCTGGGAGCATATCCTTTAGTAATCATCCAGTGTCAAATGCTGGATGTAGGATCTGCTTTGGGGAGAAAGTACCCTAAGGAAGTTATGATGTTTTCTAAGCCTGGGGCATCATGACCTCTCATGCCATCCCTTCTTAGTTCTGCTGAGAGTTATGAGAACCCAGAGAAGCACTTGTCACTGAGCCCTGTGTGCCCTTTAGCTCTCCTGGGCAATGAGATCTTGAAAAGGAAGACTAGACAGGAAGTTAGAGTCTAGACCCTTGGAAAAAGTTCTCCAGCCTCCATAAACATTCTCAGGCTCTAGGCCAGACCCATTCCAGCCAAGCTCTGGCACCTAAAGGGATAAAGTGGTATAGACAATGGGGTTCCTCAAGATGAACTTAGAGTAGACTTAAGTGTACTTAGAACCCACATTAGAGGATTCACCCTGATCATTTGATATTCTCTACATAGAATGATTCTATATCCCTGGGGCAAGAAGGCAGCCCCAACAAGACTGAATTCTCAGAAACTTGAATTATAAATCTTAGAACTGGATTTAATGCAAATAAAGTTGTATCTTTCTCTTTCCAACTATACAGTAAGAATCACTACTGGCAGTTCGATGACCAGGGCAAGTGATCTCTACGAAGAAGACACAGTGATGATACCACCACACAGCAGGTCAGGACTGCTTGATCATATCCTCAGAAGTGGTTCTTCAGTGTTCCCTAAAAATATCACTTCCCTGTGCCCTTGGGTCAAAAAAGCAACACTGAGTGTGACAAGAGGAAGTTCATACTCTTCATGCTTGAATGAAGAATTGAACCTGCCTCCCATTCCCAACAATTACCAGGCCTAAGGGCA